ACCGTCATGTTATAATAATATAATAATATTATATAATATTATTATTAATAATATAATAATATTTTTAAATTATTTTTCCTGTCTTGTCAAATCCTCTTAGTATTTAACAGAAAAGCTTCTTTTGCTTAAAGCAATTCCAAGTTTGATTATTATTTCGGATTTAATATAAAGTTAGTTATTGAAACAGCGACCGCTCTAATTAGCAAAATTAGTGAACACTCCATTGCTCGAAGCTACAACAGTTATTAGAAGCTACAGTTCTACGTCTGTGTGAGCTTACCGCAGTATGACGATAAGAAACTATTTCGGTCGCAGGAAATGGAGACGATACGATGTATTTACAGTATTGCACAAAATAGCAACGAGCGTAATATTTTATTGAAGATTTACTACCGCGTAGCGGCATTTATATTCTTAAGAATGCTATAACGATTGCGTATAAACAAAAATGTTGTCTCGAACTTTTACATATTATTCTTTTTATAAAAAGTAAACTTTTTCTGTAGGCAGACATTCTATCTAAATATTAAGTCAAAGTTAAACAAAGCTTAAATAACATTTCTAGCATTGTTTCAATAACAGATATGTTCATCAATTAGACTTGAAACGGATTTGTTCAAGCGGACTTAATTAAAACAAACATTTCTCTCTATACAGCAAAGCATTTACTTGAAACTTATTTTATATTCTTGGCTACTGTTGTCAAAGATTAATTAACATTGTTACTATTGACAAAGCTTTATCACATTTATCCTTAACTTCTGCTTTGTACGGCTGCACTTTGCGTGAGTTAATCGTAATTGCATAAGTCACAAAATGAGTTTGCATACAATTTCGTTTAATCAAAGATCTATTTGAATATCACAGAATTTTTACATAATTCTAGTGTCAACGATTCCGCTCTACTTGTTTTATGGTCCTGACATTTGCCAAATTTCACAATGTTTGAACTATCGGTTTTTGGCACCTGTCGTATGTCGAAATATAAAAAAATAAAAAAAATTTGTGGTGAGTGGTGAGTAAAAAAAAGTTTACGATAACATCTGAGAAGTAGCACGACGTTATTTTTTTCCGGGACAGTTGCCTCTTCCATAATTATGCAGCGATCTCTATGGTGCTTTTCGACGACAACAGACACAAAGAAGTGGCGAGGGTCTTTGTTTCTCTCAAGACGTACGTCGTTAATGGGTGAACAGTACGCGCTTGTCTCCGCTCGGTTGGAGATAAAAGCTTTTGTTTGCCGCTTGCTGCGTGCCCTCGCAAATGCAATCGACAATGCGCCTGGTGTTATTGTTCCTCCCATCAACGTCATTGTCGATGATGAACCGCGCCGGCTATTCTGTATTCCTATTAGTGCCGCATCTACTTCCCGATTGATCGAGCGTGTCGCTCGCTTGAAATTCTGCGATTTTGCGTCGCGTTAATTTCACGTTTAATCCCTCGGTGAGGCGGGAACGAACCGTCGGGAGAGTATCTGTAATACAGTTGAAAAGTTCACCTCGTCTCTAGAAATCGTACGGAAACTGTTTCGACATCTTTAGGAAAATCAGCATTGAGATGTATTGTATTTATGGTGGTTGCAAACGAATGCGTTACAAAAGTAAAAGTACAATATCGTAAAAAATAAAGATGTAATATTAAAGATACGATATAGAGAAATAAAAATACAATATTATAAAAATTATTTTTTTAAATAATTTTATAAGAGAAAAAAACAAATCAAATAGAATTTAGAAAATGTACTATATACAATGTGTTATTGTAATGTATTTTTTGTTTTACTTGGAGGAAAAGGAAAAAAATAGAATATTTAAAATCTTCTTGTTATATTAGTTAAGTGTGAAATTCAATTATACTTTTTAAATTTTAAAGATAGCATGCATATACTCATTAAAAACCTAATTATTTATATCGTCATAAAGTGAATAAGGAATTAAAAATAAGGTACCAAGTTGCTAAAAGGAAAAGTTTAACGATCGCATTCGTTGCCAGATTTTGTAAATTATCTAATTATCTTTTAAAATTTACTTTACAGATCGCTATTTATCAATTCTTTTATAGATAAATAGATTAAAAAAATTCATTACAGAGATTACATGCATCATAAACGCAATATTTTTATTTCCCTCGTAATTAGATTTTGTATGTAAATATTTGTGCTCATTTGCATCGCGCGCATATTAATATATTATGATAATATGAAGACCGAGCGAGCGAATGAGAATGCATTTCTGAATGCAATTGGGTTAATAAAGTTACGTTTAATCTTTCGGTAGATAGCCGAAAGTATGCAGCTAGTATTACGATACACGCTTGGATATTGGCTAGGCTTACATAAACAAGATATTCTGCAGATATTCTCGAGGCGTGTATTTAAACTTTTCCATTTAACTACAAGTACATAAGTTTGCGCCCTTTCCCATGCATCACAAGAGCGTAAGGTTTACAGTGTGAAACTATTGTGTTCCGCGGTTAAACAAACTTTATGGGAATTTTCACAGATTTATCTTAGAAGGAAACAAGATTTTATTACCAGACATCAAATCTTTGGAAGATATCAGGTTTTTTCAAATACGCGAAGATGAGAAAATTAGCATAATCTATTCACTACACAGTATCGACGATCTTGATATGCATAGCATTCTAAAGCTATCGTGTTTTTTTTTCTTTATACACGTCCGTTAATGAGTTTGTAGATAATCTTGCCTCAGCAAGTGTTAAACCGATAGTCGTTGAAGATATTAAATCGCCAACGTTATCAAAATTTGATCGTATAATGAGGAGTATAATAAGATAATTGGGAAATTTCCGCTTATGATTAACTTTCCACATTACTCTCGGAATGTATTAAATAACGGAGAGTAATTCTCCGAGTATTATCTATGTTAGACCATT